CATTATTCGCATTAACCCTTTTTCGCACAAGTCAAAAACCACCTCAAGCAAGCGTAAACACTTTTTTGCGAATTAAGGGATTTTTTTATTTATTTGGCATTTACATCACTCGTTTCTGATGTGATACTTCAAAATGCGCATAAAACAGGGTGATGGAAACATAGCTTATGACAAGAAAAACAAACTGTTTCCTTCTGGTTACTCTTAACAGGCTACACGGCATTCAATGGTGTGGACTTTGAAGGGACGTTTCATGTGAATACTGAGACGGATGATGACTATGCAGGCTTTATCTTTGGCTATCAGGACAGCTCCAGCTTCTATGTGGTGATGTGGAAGCAAGTGGAGCAGATATATTGGCAAGCCAATCCTTTCCGAGCTGTAGCTGAGCCTGGCATCCAGCTGAAGGTTTGATCTGGTTTCTTTAATTACAGAGTAACAACTTATTTAATTTCTTATGTTTAATATGGTACTTGTTTCTGTATTTTGTTGGTAGGCAGTGAAATCCGACACGGGACCCGGAGAAAACCTGCGGAATTCACTCTGGCACACAGGTGACTCGACAAACCAGGTGAAACTCTTGTGGAAAGATTCCAGAAATGTTGGCTGGAAAGACAAGACCTCCTACCGCTGGTTCCTGCAGCACAGACCCCAAGAAGGCTACATCAGGTAGAATCAGATTGGACAATGTTTCATCTGCAAATCATCCTGTCATAGCAATATACATGTTTAGGTAAACACTCTGCATATCTTGCATACAGGGTTCGGTTCTATGAAGGTCAGCAGATGGTAGCAGATACAGGAATTATCATCGACACAACCATGAGAGGAGGCAGACTGGGAGTATTTTGCTTCTCCCAGGAGAACATCATCTGGGCCAACCTGCGCTACAGATGCAACGGTCAGTTCTTTTAATGAAATACCTTTTGCATACATTAAAAATGGAAACAAGTGTACACTCACTCAAAGAGCTTAGCGTCAGGCCTTCAAATTTTAATGTAATATGAACTCCCAACATTCACAAAGTTCTACACATGCTCGGCCGCTTGTGTGTTCATTTATTTTGGCTCATTTGAAAATACACTATATGGACAAAAGTATTGGGAGACATACCGCTTAATTATTGAATTCAGGTGTTTCAATCAGACCCATTTCCACAGATGTATAAAATGAATCACCTAGCTATGCAGTCTGTATTTACAAACATTTGTGGAAAAAATGGGTCATTCTCAAGAGCTCAGTAAATTCAAGCTCGGTTTGCCACCATTGCGATAAGCCAGTTTGTGAAATTTCACCCCTGCTAGATATTCCACGGTCAACTGTAAGTGGTATTATTGGAAAGTAGAAGCATTTAGGAAAGGCAGAAACTCAGCCATGAAGCAGAAGACCATGTAAAGTTGCAGAGCAGGGTCAACGAGTGCATATGCTGCTTCCATAGCTGAAGAGTTACAAACTCGCCACAAAAACTGTGTGGTGGGAGCTTAATGTAACGGATTTCAATGGCAGAGCAGCTACATGCAAGCATCACATCACCAAGCGTCAGATAGAGTGGTGTAAAACACACCACCACTGGACTCTGGAGCAGTGGAAACCTGTTCTGTGATGAGTGACGAATCACACTTTTCTGTTTAGCAGTCAGATGGGCGAGTCTGGGTTTGGCCGATGCCAGGTGAATGTCACCTGCCTGACTACATTGTGCTGACTGTAAAGTTTGGTGGAGAGGGCTAGTTTGCTGGCTGTTTTTTAGGGATTGGACTAGGCTCCTTACGTCCATTGAAGGGAAATCTTGATTCTGTAGCGTACTAAGACATTTCGGACAATGATATGCCCCCGTGCACAAAGCAAGGACCACAAAGACGTGCTTGGATGAGTTTGGTGTGGAAGACCTTGACTGGCCCACACAGACCCAACTGACCTCAACCCCACTGAACACCTTTGGGATGAACTGGAACAAACCAGGCCTTCTCGTCCAACAGGTTCTACTGGATGAATGGGCAAAAATTCCCACAGAAACTTGTGGAAAGCTTCCCAGAAGAGTGTAAGCTGTTGCCATTACAATGTGACCCTGGAGCACAAAACCAGTCTTAAGTCGCTGGGGTATATTTGTAGCAATAGCCAACAATAAATTATATGAGTCAAAATGATCTATTTTTCTTTTATGCCAAAAATCATTAGGATATTAAGTAAAGATCATGTTCCATGAAGATATTTTGTAAATTTCCTACTCATGTTCCATGAAGATATTTTGTACATTTCCTACCATAAATATATCAAAACTTAATTTTTGATTAGTCATATGCATTGCTAAGGACTTCATTTGGACAACTTTAAAGGTGATTTTCTCAATATTTTAATTTTTTGCACCCTCAGATTCCAGATTTTCAAATAGTTGTATCTCAGCCAAAGATTGTCCTATCATAACAAACCATACATCAATGGAAAGCTTATTTATTTTTAAATCTCAATTGACCCTTATGACTGGTTTTGTGGTCCAGGGTCACATGTTGAAGTCTATTGCTGTGTCCCAACATGCATACTATCTGTCCTAAATAGTATTCGAAAATAGAATTAGTGTGCCCCAAATCGTAGTGTGTTGAAATGAGTATGCCAAAGATTCCCAGATGTTCTACTATACTTCCAGTTAGAATTCGAAGTGCATATCGATGCATACTCTAATGGCTAATATTGCCCGCAACACATTGCTTTTTCTGACAAAGATTCGATTAGAGCTACAAACACACATAAAAAGTGTTAAAAACTACAAACATGGTGGATATGCGAGGATAGACAGGTAGAGAAAGGGGTTTGAGTGATAATCAATGTCTAACCTGATGAAAAAGTATTTATTTTGTTATCCATGTTATATTTAATCTGCAGCAACATTGTGAACTTTTCTAATGATATGTTTGTTCATTAACTTTTAAATGCATCATTATGCAAACACATGTTAAAGTTACTATGAAGAAATATGTCCCAAAGCTATACTATTCTGCTACATACTCAAAAGTATGTACTTTTTCTTCACAAAAAGAGTACATACTTTTAGGGCATAGTATAAGAAGAGGTGAATTGGGATGCAGCTTATGTATTTAGAATGCAAAACTCCTTGTTGGTGTAATCGTCATGTGTCCCAGTAGTTTTGTTCATATAGTGTACTTCAAGCTACTAATAGGAATATAGTACTCTCAGATCTGTTGAAAACAAGTTATCATGAAATGGAAATTCTATTTATATTCTGCTTTATTGATACACATTCCAGGTCTTTTAGCATGATTCACTGGAGCATGTTATTCCAAATTTATGACAGAAAGTAATAATTTCACAATCCATCTTCTTCTGGTGGCCTCGCTTTTCACGATCCACTTCCCAATAGATTTTCTTTGAACTTCATATAGATGATAAAGAATTTTCTCTTGAAGTCAACGCAGAATCACCTCATCTGGAGCTGCTCATTTTTGTCTTTTATCTAAATGAAATATATTACGAGCATACAAAATTCACAGTCACATCTGAGGATAGAATGAATAAATCAGCTGTCTTGTATTTGTTCTTTTTTTATGCAGATACAATCCCTGAGGACTTTGAGACATTCAGAAGCCAGCAAATCCAGCTTTTTTGAACCCAATCTCAACAGTTATTTTTTACAAGATTAATGAATGTGAGTTGTATATTTCTGTCATGTGTGTCATATTATATACTCCATTTTTTATACTTTGTGAACAGTAGAGCTTTAAGTAACCCCCTAATGACAGACATAAATTGATGACACTGCATTAGCACTGAGAATTTAAATATATATATATATGTATTTTAAAAACACGTACAGAAATACAGGTTACAAAATATAAATGATATAACAAGAAGGCTCTGATATATGCAGCTGAGACATCATGCACATCCATATTTAGCTTCTTTTTTTTCTGAGAAAGGAAAAGGACCAGCAAAACGACAAAGACGAAATCAGTTCCTTCTACAATCAGTTACCACAAATAGGAGACAAAGATGACCACACCAGCACAGCGACTATAGAACTGGGACCCAATAAAAGCTCTAGACAACCACAAATTATATGTCCTAATATACCGTTAACTCCAATAAAGAGCGAGCACTGTTAATGCTCACGAAATGAGAGATCACAAAGATTCGATAGTGCACATTCTGTAACCTAACACTCTCACGAGCGCTTCGTTTACAGTGTCTTTTAATACGTATTAAACCTGCCTTAAGTGAGATGACAGTTGGCGAAATAAAAAGTATATCATCTTTACAGAAAGAAATCCATGTAGATAGCACTTAGTTTATGCTAACGCTATGATTTAAGGGGAAGGGTTGTTATACTGCTCAGCTCTATCCTATGGGTCACTATCGGTACGTTTATCAAGAAATACATCCCATCTAGTCAGCTACGTACTTAATGGTACGGACATGGTAATCATGGTCACTAACTGCTCAGCAGTTCTATTAAGGCTTAAAGGGGAATTTACGCTAAAGGGGGTTTGCTCTCACACGAATAATCAGGACTCAAATGAACATACCCGGTAAGTGCTAAAACCGCTCCAGTTTGGCTGCATGCCGCATGTGCATCAACAACAGATTATTTGTCCAATAAACACATGCAGTCTGCCCACATCTCCTAATGTTTCACAGGTTAAAGCAACAAACAGACTGAGCCCTTTTTTCGGTTTGCATTGGGACGTCACATATACATATATACGCTTCCAGAATTGTTTTCCCTCTGAATTATCAGTGCAATACAGAAAACAGTTCACAAAGAACACCTTCACGATAAACCGGGGTGGGGGGAACGCATGTACAGGGTCGAACAGTCGGCATTCTCAGAAGGTGAAACAGTCCAAGTTTCATGAGCAAAGCTGCGGCTGAAGTTTCCAGAAGCAGCAGCCAGAAGATTTAGAAGAAATGCACATACATCAGTATGAAAGCTGCCGTATCTTTGAGATTTCTGACAGGATTTCAGATGGAAACCCAAGATGCAAGGGCAGAGCAAATCGACAGGGCGGGGGAATGACCCAACTGAAGATATCAAACATGCTACAATCGAGATGAGCGGAAAAATGCTACCGTGACCGAAAATGAACAGAAACGTAACAGATCAGGAGAAAAAACAATAGTGCTTTTGGTCAAGCATTGTCAAGCAGGTCATTTGGTGTAATGCACTATCATAACACGGAGCCCCATAAATACATTCTGTTTCTAAACATGATCATAGACGTGGTAAAATGACACCACTAGCATTAACTAATACATGCACTGTGTCTCGGGGGTCTACATTGGTTTATGTGCAGTGAATCTTTTTACTGGAATCAGCCAAGCTAATGAAGACTTCATACCAAAAAGCTAACGAAGAGCTCGTTCTAAAGGTTTTTCTCATTTTGACATGCAGTCGTCATATTCCAGTGATGAGCTTTATGTACACTATTTTCAGGAGAGAAACGCGCTCATGGTAAAACATATGAAAACACTATTCTGAATGGCACAGTTTGAAGAAGAAAAACTAAAGCGAGTATTGCAGTTTTTGTTACTTCTAAATAAACTACAGTGTATCCACCATCTGAGCCAATCCCTATTTCTCAGCCCTAAATATACTATTCATATTCAACCAGAAATATTCCAGATTGTTGGTTGATTAATGCTTTTAGATTGCATAGGAATCACAAATTGGATTTGCACAGTTTTAAGAGTTATTATTTCCTTCAAGGACCGAGATGACCAAAATGTATCTGGCTGAACCAAAATTACTAAAACTTTAGCAGGAAACATCTTGTTCAATTGCCAAAAACTTCACCTTGCTCTTCATCCCCTGTATTATAAACATGTTGTTTTTAGACTGACAAGTTAGATACAGTGGGGTCCAAAAAAAAAAAAAAACATTATATATATATATATATTTCTGTCATGACAACTCTCTGAGGGATTGGCATGGTAATGTACATGACAATGTTAATGTATTTGGTCTTGGCGGAATAGATCTTCTACGCTGCTGCTGCTGCAGAGCATGTACTGAGACTTGCTTCTGACAATACATCCCCAACATGCTGCTGTGAGCATGTAAGAAATATTGCTGCTGCAAATAAAACAGTGGAGGCTTGTTTTCGCCATGGGATAAAAAATAAAAAAGGTAATTGTGACTTTTTATCTCATAATTCTCACTTTTATTCTCTAAATTCTGAGTTTATGTCTTGCAATTCTGTTTTTTTTGTCCTTCCACAAAATAAAAAAATAATAAAAAAGGTAATTGCGACTTTTTATCTCACTATTTTGACTTTTTCTCGCAGGATCATGTTTACATATTGCAATTGTAAGATAACATCTTGCAACTGTTTTTTTTTTTTGCTAAATAAAAAGTCAGAATCATGAGATATAAATAAATAAATAAATAAATAAATTAATTAATTAATTCATTACATTTATATAGCGCTTTTCTAGGCACTCAAAGCGCTTTACATTGTCAGGGGGTATCTCCTCATCCACCACCAGTGTGCAGCATCCACTTGGATGAACTCATAAACTCATAATTGCATGAAAAATTGTGAGATTAAGTCAAAATTAACTTTTTTTTTTCTTTTTATTCCATGGCAGAAACAAGCCTCTACAATTATCAATGCACCAGTTTAACGAAAAATAAAATAAAGAAATAAATCTCAAAATTCACATTTGAATCCTAATATATCTTTCTTATCATCCCCTTTGCTTCATTGTTTTTAATGCTTTTCACTCCAGGTTTGAACCAAAAAGCTGTGTTTTTTGGACCCCACTGTATATAGAGATCATAACTGTGTCACTGAATTGTAAATGAGTGATTCCTTAGTTCCTTCCTATAGCACTCGAGGGGAAAAACACATCACTTGATCAAGGTGCGACAGGGCTTGAACATACGCATGGGAATGACAAACACAAACTCCCATAAACAGCACAGAATAAGGAGCATTACTCTCCCCAAGCCAGATGACTGACATCAGCTTCACAACAGAACCTTGAGTTAAGTTTGGCAGTACAAGTACAAACTACACAGCATTCGATACTAAACAAAATGGCATTGTTAAAACAAAAATATCGAGAGGGACGATTAGAAAAACACATTAAAAGTTAAAAACAGCATTTTGTTCATGTAAGGCAAAATCAGGTCCTCTCACAGTGAAGTGTTCAGCAGGTTTCTGCAGCAGCTCGAGGGTCACATATTTACTGACCACCGTTGAAGCGTACATTTCAGCCATAACATTCGAATAAATAACGTATGCGTACAGAAAGTCACGCGACAGTCCACAAAAACACCAAAAGATGGGTCACATTTCTATTTAGAGACTGCTGTCCTCCTGCAAGAAACTTGATACCGAAAGAATGAAACCGATCGTGACATCTTGAGATGTTTGGATGATACAAAAAATGCTAGCAAATCGAATCGTCATGGAAGCCATTTTGTAAAAGCAAACTTTATGCCTTCCGGCGTACAATGAGCAACGCTCCCTTAAACCCTTGATACACAATCTGGGGGAGTAGTGCTCCTTACATAAATATGATTAAATAATATATATTTATATCTATAATTAAAAAAATAATTATAATAAATACAATCTAAACAAATATGTCGATTTCACACACATCATCACACAGATGGATATTTCTTCAAAGACATGGCATAGTTATGTAAACATTAAAAAAATAGATGAAATTTGGCAATGTAAATACGAATATACTGATAAACATAGGATGATCCATGAAATCAAAAGGATAAACAACCAAAAAGGAATAAATAGAAACCGCGCATTGGCGACTAGCCAAAACATGAATACATGAAGAGAGTGGATGATGGATGGTATTGCGCATTGGAAACTATCCAGTGTGGATACAGCACTTCCACCCCCCCAAACCCTGGCCGCCGCCTCCACCGGCCCCTGGCCACGAGCGGTTTGGCAGCATGCGGTTACGTGGGTGGTTGGGGGGACGTGGACGGCCACTGACCAGATGGTGAACAGAGACGCCATGCAGAGGAATGTCTGGCTTCGAAGTGCATTCACAGCTTCACAGTCGATCCATGCGGAACGTGTCCTCCGTGGCCGGGTCGGCGAGAACCATATCCGGGTCGTTGAGCATGTGCAGTCCGTCCAGTGTCAAGGGGTCAATCTTCAACTCATCCAACGGGAACTGAGAGTCCGCGTCAAAGCTGACGTCATCAACGCTGGCCAACGAGCTGGTGAGGTCTTTGGAGAGACTCGGCGGAGATTCTCCCGTTACTAATGTGAGACAAATCAAACTGTCAGCTGAAATGCTTATTCCTGGGAACCAGTGTTGGGAAGGTTACTTTGCAAATGTAATAGGTTACGGATTACAAGTTACCTTATTTAAAATGTAATAAGTATTGTAACTATTTCGATTACTTTATTAAAGTAATGTAACTGTAAAAAAGTAATGTAATGCGTTGTGATACTCTCTCCACAATGGCGGCGCACCGCTGCAGATGAAATGAGAAGAGTTGTTGAATAAAGTTGTTATTTTAGTTTTCTTTGCGCACAAAGTATTCTCGTAGCTTTGTAAACTTACGGTTGAACCGCTGACGTCACATGGACTATTTTACAGATGTCCTTGCAACGTTTCTGTGCGTTGATCGTGGTAGTTGTGTTGCTGTCTATGGAGGGTCTGAGAGCTCTTGGATTTCATCAAATATATCTTAATTTATAAGATAAATGAAGGTCTTACGGGTTTGGAACAACATGAGGGTGAGTAATTAATGACATAATTTT